AGCTCGGACTCGAGCCGTCGCGGCCTGCCGAGGAAGAGCCGCGCTCGGACGGCATCCGCAGCATGCCCACTGTGAACCTCAGCGACAACTACTTTGCCGCCGTTTCGCAAGAGATGCGGAAGCTCAGCTCGGTTGTTGAGAAAGAGAGCAAGGAGTTCCCGAGCGAGGGAGAGCAGACTGCCGTGCTGACCGGCGACGCTGCTCCGCAGACCGTGGCGAGCGAATTGACCGCGCCAAGCAGCAGCAACCTGTTGCATATCTTCTCGCCACACTTCTGGTACCGCCGGCTCGACTCGTTTTTGCTGGGCGGCTCGTTCTCGGACAAAGTGCAAGCGCGCTTTGAAGAGCAAGCGCGGCGTCCGCGTGCGAGCGTCGACCACTACGCGCGGTACCAAAACGCGCTCGAGAAAGAGTCCAGCGAAATCCCGAACAGGTTTTCGTTTTCGTGGCGAGACTTGCTGTCCTTGTCGCTGGCGCCCCCCCAAGACTGCTCCGAAACGATTCGGCTGTTTGAGTTGGGCCGCGCCGACGCGTTTCGCTGGCACCAGCTTTATTTGCGCGAACTGCAAATTCAGAAAATTACGTAACGAGGTGCACCGGTCGAAGGCGGTTAGCCGACAAGTGTTGCGCGCAGTCGAGGCATGGCTGAGCGCAAACCAGAATTGCAGTTTCCCCCGGGCGCCGGCCTTGCAGAGAGCGGCGCGCAGGACGCACGCAGCGGCTGGATCCCCGGACCGCGGCAAATTTCTCCACTGCTCAACGTACCGCGCTTTGCGCGCGCGCCGAACGGCTCGGCGCGCGACTCGGCGTGCGACGCTTGTCTCGAAAGCATCGTGCAGACTGCACCGCAACCCGCGCCCACGCTCGCGTCTGCGAGCGACGACGCGGTGCGCTCCGGCACGCTGTTCGGCTCGCTTTCGTCTGCGAGCTCCGGCTTGAGCGACGCACATGCGCAGCGGCCAGTAAAGCTCGCGATGCAGACGGGCGCCGAGTCCCGCGCGCTCGGTGCAGTGCGCGACCGCCACGAACAGCACGCGCCAAGTGGCGGCGTGGCGCTGACCTCGTCAGCTGCGGCCGCCCCCGCGGCCGCGCGCAAGCACATCTACGCGTCGCGCGAGACGTCGTCTAGCTCGTGGGAGTCGAACTTCGAAGGGCTGAGCGGACAGTCCTCTGCGTTGGAGCAGTCTGCCGAGTCGCATTATCCGCAGATTTCGCGCAGCATCGAGCGGCAAGAGACTCCGCGCGCTCCATCGGCGGCGTCTCAGTTCTTCGTAAAGCGAGGGGGCGGCTTTGGCGAGGAGCGCGGGTTTTTTCGACGCGAGCTACACCCCGAGATGCCGCTCGCGAGCATGCGCGCGGACGAACCCGTGAGTTCGGAAACGTATACGACCGTCGCTGGGTCTGGCGAGAGCGCGGCGCGTTCTGTGGCGACGAAAAGCTCTCTGAGTTTGTACTCCGGGCGGGGTGGCTCGCCCAGCGCGTTGTTTACCGCCGAGTTGCAGTCGGACGCGTGGTCGGCGCGCAGCGAGCAGACGACTACTTCGGCGGAGACAGACGCGCAGCGCAGCGACTTGAGCAGTGGCAACGCGGCGAACAGTGCTGCGGCGCACGGCCTGCCTTCTGTGGCGCGCGGCGGTGGGGGTTTGCGGTTCGACAATTTTTTCCGCCCGAGGTCTAAAAGCTTGTTTTCTGGTGGTAGGAGTCTGACCCGCAGCGAGCACGCGTCGGGCAGTTACGCCGCGCAGAGCGGCCGCGCAGCGCAGCGCAGCTTTCCAGCCGCGGCGGCGCGCGCGGAGTCGGGCGGCTCCGAGTTGCTGCTCAGCAGCGGGTCGATGCGGGAAGCTGTAGCGCAGACTAGCGAGGAGAGTGCCAGCACCGACGCGTCCGAGTTGGTAGGTGCGGAGCACGGCGGTCGAGTGCCTGCGACTATTGACAGCGACCTGTTCGAACAGATTCAGGTTGCGCCGCCACGAAAGTTTAAAGTGGCTTCTAGGGCGCTGAGCGGCGCGCAGTCTGCGAAGCGAGCGCTGCTGATGCTGGCCGAGTCCGACAAAGCGGCTGCGCGCGAAGCGGCGATGTCGCTTTCGGCGCGAATGCAGACAGCGAAAGGTTTGGCGAACAGCGAAAGCTGCGGCGCGCCGCTGGATATCTCGCGACCGTGCAGTTTTCAGAAGCCCGTGGCGGCGCCGCAGTCGTGCTGCTGCAAAGAGGGTACGCGGTCGCTGTCGTTTAAGGCGTTTTCTGTGCTGCGCGGCGCTTGTTGTGCGCCGGCGGCGCCCCCCGAGGCGGAGCGCAGTTTTGAACTTTCCAACTGCACAAAGGTTCTGCAGTCTGTCGCGGCCCGCAGCTCGATGGTGTCTGCACAGCGCGAGGCAGAGAGCAGTGGGGCTACAGCGCGCGGCGCAACTGCGGCGTCGAAGGCGGCGCGGCGCGCTTTGCTGAGCAGCGTGGCGCTGTGCATCAGCGAGAACGAGCAGTGCTGCAGCGAAGTAGCGTCTACAAAGACGGCGCGCGCGCGCTACCTCGAGAATTTCGCGATCGACGTGCAGTTGCAAGCCGCGGAGACTGCGCCCGGTGCGCTTGCGTCTGTGCCCGATGCGCCGCGCGCCGCGGCGCCTGCGCCAGCGCCCGGTGCGCCAGCGCCAGCGCCCGATGCGCCGCGCGTTGCGGCGCCGGAGCCTGAGCCGCTCGAGGCCTACTCGCAGCGGGCGAGCAGCTACTGCTCGTCGCGTTCGGACCTGGCGGCCGGGCTGTGGCAGCCAGGCGGCGAGCGGATTGGCGGCAAGGCGCCGCGGCTGGCGTTTCTCTCGAAAAGCAACGACTTCATGCGTTCCGCGGAAACGAGCAGAAACGAGTCGCCGCCGGGGAGCTTCCGCGCGCGCGCGCTGCCGGGCAAGATTTCGGCGTTCTCGCGGTTCGGCACGAGTCCGCTGGTGTACCGCGTGGCGTCGTCGAAGAGCCCCGACGAGCTCCGGCGCGCTGCGCCGACTTACCCGCTGCTGCAGCTGCGCACAGCGCCTGCACTGGTCGCGGCGACTCCAGCCGTCGCGGCGACTCCAGCCGACGCGGCGACTCCAGCCGACGCGGCGGACGGCGACGGCGCGCACCCGCCGCAGCTCGCGGTTTACACGAGTTTAACAAAGAACTTGGCGCGGCAAGTGGAACAACTGCGGACGCAGTTGGACGCGGTCGCGCTCCAGCGCGCGCAGTCGCGCGACCAAGACGTGCTCGACGAGCGGCTCGCGCAGGTAGTGCAGGAGACGCGGACTGGGCTGGAAAACGCGTTCACGGAAAAAGTCGCGGCGCTGATGCAACGCTTGGGCGACGTGGAGAGCCAGCTCGAGGAGAAGCGCGCGCAGCGCGAGTTGGACGCGGCGCGCCGAATGGCCTACGTGCTGTGGAATGTGCTGTATGCGCACTGCGACTCGCTGTTATTGGGGGACACGAACTTCCCGGACCGCGCCGACGCACTGCGGCTGGCGTTCGGCCGCATGCGCACGTACCTCACGAGCAGCCAGTCGGAGGTGCGGCTGAACGACAAGGTGATCAGCGCGCTGTTCTTCTGCGAGCTCGCGATCCGCAAGAACCGTATGGTTTGCGTCAACCACGTGTTCGCGCAGCTGAAGACGAACTGTTTGATGGCGCTGCATTTCCAGCGGGCCGCGAGCAGCTGCACGGGCACTTCGCAGCGACTGCGCCGGCTGCAGAACATGCGGCTGCTCGAGCGCGCTACGTACTAGCGTTATGCACTAGCATTATGCACTAGCGCGACGCGAACGATTTGCGTCGCGAGAAGTGCGCGACTTGCTTGAGCAGCCGCGTGATCAGCAGCCCGAGCGCGAGGAAAAGCACTAGCAGCGCGATGGTCCCCACGGGGTACAGCTTGAACACGGGGCACTGCCAGTGGTGGCGCAGCGCGTCCTTCCCACACTCGTGCGCGTTCGCCGTGCAAATGTCGCCGGCGCGGCAGTAGTAGCAATTGTGGTAGCTGCACGTGTAGCAGTCGCCGTTCGCCAGTTTGCAGCTGTACGCGCTGAGGTCTTGCAGCTGCCGCATCCTCACGAATTGCCCATTTCGAAAATATTTAGCGTAGCAATTGATTTTATGAATCAGTGTCTCGACTCGACGTGGGAAGTGTATGTGGAGATCGTGAACCGCACCATCGAAAAGTGCGCGAACATCGAGGGGCAGACGATCTTGGACGTGCTGAAACAGCGCTGGCTCGCGAAACTCGCCGAGCTCACGGCGCGCAGCGGGCGCGAGCCAAGCGTGGCGGGGGCGCCGCGCGTGAAGCTGGAGCCCGCGGCCGACCCGCTGGACACGGGCTACAGCCGGCTGCTGCACGCGGAGCACGCCCTCGCGCTGACCCCCGAGGCGCGTAGCGTCGCGAACGCGCGGTACCGCGCGCCCACGTCCGCGCCCACGCCTGCGTCCGCGCCCGAGCTTGCCGACGCGCAGCGCGAACCCGCGGCCGACGCAACCGCCGAAACGGCCGATCAAAAGACCGGTCAAAAGACCGACCAAAAGACAGCCGAAAAGGGCGCTGAGCAGTCCGCCGCGAGCGGCGGCAGCTCCGACGAGTGGGACGACTGGACCGACGGCAAGAGCTGCGTGTTTGCTGCAGCCGCGGCGGCGGACGTCGCGGCGGCTGAAGAGGCCGCCGCGGCCGCGCCCGAGCCGCTGCGTGACGCCGCCGGCGCGCTCTACCCCGAAGACGAAGACTTCAGCTACAACCTGCAGACGCAGTACGGGCGCTCCGACAAGCAAATCAACCTCGAAGACTTCGACGTGGTCGACAGCTCGCTGAGCGACGCTGAGTCGCTTGACTGCGAAGAGCCCGAGGTCGTCGACACCATCGTCGGCATGTGCGAAAAGCTGCAAAAGCCCACCGGCAAGCGGCTCAAGGATTCTTCCGACTGGAAGTTCGTGGTGCGCAACGGCGTGCTCAACGTCAACAACCAAGAGATCTTCTTCGGCACGCTCAAAGCGAACCTGCGCTTCTAGTAGTCGTCGCCGCGCGACAACACCTCCTTGCCTTTTTCGTGAATGATCACCGTGTGCTCGAACTGCGACACGAACGAGTGCGCCACGTCACACAGCGGCGGGTACTCGTTCACCACGCCCGCGTTCACCAGGCTCTTCAGCGCCAGCATGTAGCGCTCCTCGCCGAGTGCGTCGAGCCAGCGCCGGCAGAACGCAAGCGTGCCGAAGTTCGCCTGGATCGTGTTGTACAGCTTGCGCGCGGACGGCAGCCGGATCGCGCCGAGGTTCGCGCCGCGCGCGCCGCCCTGCAGCATGTAGTGGCTGCAGTCGCCCTGCTCCACCACGCGGCCCTTCCCGCTGCTCGCAAAAGTCTCAATTGCGAACACCTCGCCGGCCTGCATGCGCTCCGGCTCGTGCGTCTCGACCAGCGGCACAGACTTCGACGCGTGGATGCAGTACTGCGCGACCGAGTGCCCGCTCAAGTTTTGCACCGGCCGCAGCGCGTGCACCTTGTCCGCCCAGTGCAGCTCGTACGAGCAGATGATCTCGGAGATCTGCGCGCCGATGTCGCTCAGCAGCGCGTCTGGCCCGCACACGCGCAGCGCGTGGTTCGTAGCCTCCTTGCTCGCGAGCAGCAGCGGGTCGAACGCCTCGTTGAACGCCACCGTGAACGCCGAGTCGATCAGGTACCCGTTGAAGTGCACGCCGAAGTCGACCTTCAGCACGCTGTCGCGCGTCAGCCGCACCAGCGGGTCGCCCTTGTTCGGCGTGAAGTGCGCCGCGCAGCTGTTCAGACTCACGCCCGTCGGAAACGCCCAGCCGCGCGCCGTCTTGCTCGCCGCCGTCAGCTGCCTGCTTTTCTGCTCCAACTTCTCGCACAGCTCCAGCGTCGTCAGCCCCGGCCGAATCAGCGGCTGAATGTAGCGCCGCGTCTGTCGGTGCGCCTCCGCAGCCTGCCGGTACAGCTCGTGCGCCGGGTTTTCAAATAAGTCCAGCGCCGCCACCGCGTCCGCCGGCAGCTCTGCGCTCTCCGCGCCCTCGTGCGAGAACAGTTGCGCCACCGGCCAGCACGCGCCGGGCCGCGTCTCCGCAACCGGCCGCGCAAAGTCCGCGCTCTGCGCCGAATCCGGCTGCGCTCGCCAGTCGCCGAGCAACCGCATGTGACTCAGCGAAACCGCTGGCAACCCCATCGCTCTTTAAATAGTTCTAAAATATTTGCATCTACTGCGCCGACGCTTGCAGTTCGCTGCCCGCCTCGCCGTCTGC